TGCAGGGGGTAACAGTCGCAAAAACACCAAAAATGCCCGAAAATTGCCATTTTTCCGGGTAAAATCGACTTTGCCGGAAGGCTGGAGGGTAATGGGAAAAAATGGAGGTCATATTCGGATTCAGCGCCTCAAAATACATAAGGATCGACCTATCTTGTCCGAGAGAAATTTTTGTAATTTTTTTAGCTGCACAGTAAAATCTTATGATTTCAATGCAACGTGCCTGGACATTTTACTTTTGCCATGCAATGAGTATGGAATCGTTACCACCATTATTTGAGCAGCCTGCAAACGAAGTCCTTGTTATTAAGGCATTGTGGAAAAAACAAAAAGACTTGGTACTAATCACGATGGGTCAAACCAGATATGCAAGATTTTATGAAATTTCGTTAACCTCAATAATTATTGGAAATTTCTACACTGAGCACAGTATAACATTATACAGAAGAATCTTAATTTTAGTTGAAAAAAAAAAAAAACAGGAGAAAGAAAAAGATGAGTCAAACGTAGTTTTTTTGAAGAATTCACGGACGATTGTTGCGGGTTGCATTAGTAGTCCCCAAAAAATCGTTGACATTTCCTTCTTTTGTGGTCTTTTGTGGTCTTTTGTGGTCTTTTGTGGGCGTGCATAAATGAAGCAAAAAGTAAATAAAGGGAAATAATATTAAATTAAATAATAAAAAAGGGAAAAAAGGAATATAATATTAAATTAAATAATAAAAAAAGTGAACAAAGGAAAATAATATTAAATTAAATAATAAAAAAGGGAACAGAGGAATATAATATTAAATTTAATAATAAAAAAGTGAACAAAGGAAAATAATATTAAATTAAATAATAAAAAAAGGGAACAAAGAAAAATAATATTAAATTAAATCATAAAAAAAGGGAAGAAAGAAAAATAATATTAAATTAAAAAATAAACAAGTGAACAAAGGAAAATGATATCAAATTAAATAAAAAAAATACGTAAAAGCTTAAAATACATTTTAAAAAATAAAATTACAGAAAAATAGTGTAAGTGAGGAATGATCATATAAAGAAAAAAATAAATTAAAGTGAAAAAAGTTTAAAATAAAATAGAGTTAAAAAATAAAGTCAAAGAAAATAAAGGTATAAAGTAAAGTAAAAAAAGGGTTAAAAAATAAAATAAAGTAAACAACTAAAGTAAAGTTAAAATCAAATTAGGTAAAAATACATCTCATTTTTAAAAACGCACAAATGTACCTGTATTCTAAATATTCTAGTAATCCGATCTAATCGAAGTTAAATCCCCGTTTTTCGATTCCCGTTTTCATCACTCGGTATAGATCAATCGGTAGGGTCTTCGGCTAGGGTTGGGTAGGTCTCAGGTGCAATCCCCGATGCAGGCAAAAAAATTCTAACCTACGGTAACGCTAACATGGACTTTCAATAGTTCAATTAATTTTATTTTTCAAGATTTCGATAATTATTTCCTTACATTATTGTTAGGGGTGCCTCTTTTTCCCCAACCACCCTGCTTAACATTTTCCATGCGGCTGATTTTCATGAAGTTGATTTCCATGCCATTTGCGCATGGAAACTTTTCCGTCCCAATTTTCCATGCGGCTGATTTCCATGCAAATTTCGAATGGGACATTTTTGCCAGGTAGATGCTTACCCTTCAGAATTTCATGAGAAATGCCGGTTCTTTGATGAGGCATGGAGGTGATTGTGTTTACTAATACATTTCTTCTTCTCCCATTTCTTCAAAATTAGCATGGTAATGTCAACAGCTCCCGTTATTTGTATGATTTGAAACTAAATAATTACTAGTTCATAATATCACCAACGGAGCTTATTATCTTGGTCACCTAATATTTGAGAGTGCGAATTACTGATACAGTTACCTTCTTAAGCGTAGAGAAAACAAACGAGTTTGAAATGAATACGGCGAAGAATAAATGAGTTAAAATACACGTAAAAAGTCATGACCTTGACAAAAGTAAATTTAACCAAAGTTACATTACAGCCCTAGTAGCCAAAATATGGTTTATAATACCGTTCAAGATACGTAAAAAATACCTATTCAAATACCTATCAAATACTTAGGGTATTAAATAGCTGAAAATAGGTATAAAATACCGCATATTAAAATATCCTATAAAGTGTCCTTTTTTAAAAGTATAACATACCATATAAAATAGGTATGAAATAGGGAAGTATTAAATACCATATTACATGGGTATAAAATGGGGTAGATGCCCCAAACGATGGGGTACCATTTTTAATGTGTAAAAAGTAGGTTCCTAGATGGCCTGTACAAAAGATAGCATGTGTAACACTCATAAAACCGTTTATTTCTTTACACATGGATACAAAGAACAAATGAATAAAACACCAAAGGCTTAGAATACATCCTAGTAAAGAGATGAAGAAAGCCAACGAATAAACAGGAGTATAAAAATAATAATACAGATCAACATCCTGACATAGAAGATTCCAGAATCAAGACATAAGAAAAAAGGAACATGATGATTACTCAAGAGAATCAATTCGATCGACGAGTCTTTAATTATTCTTTGGATCAATGTAGAAAAAACTGTTTTTAGGTAGTTTATTAAGTCAAGACAACGAAAAAACAAGCAGTGAACTCCAACACAATGTGTTGATAAGGCGCGTCATTCACTCACACATATCAACCCCTTTAGTTTTCATTTACAGAGATTTCAAAATAGGCAAGTAGCACAACAAGAGAATTCATACGATCCAACTCTTCGACGACGCACTTTGACGAAACCGTGTATTGTGAATGTAGAAAGCCATTCGAACGAGTTTAAGTTTTTTGATCTGCCCCCAGCAATATCTTATCAGATTCTTAAAGAAAAGTGCTACGGAATAATTTAAGCGAAGAAAGGAAAAATTCTGTCGAACTCCTGAAAGATACAGTCGATTTAAAGGTATTTTTGGGGCTAAAATATCCAAATCACCGGTACCTATTATAAATCCCGATATATTATTGAAAAGAAATTGACTCGATATAAATGTAATTGCATTAAATATGTCTTGATTTTGTTATTTTAAACGTATTTCCATGCAAAGAAGTTCAACCATGTCCATGCTTTATTCATTCATGAATTGAAAGTAAGCAATCTACATCCCGAAAATCTACCGATTTGCCGTAAAAAATTGCAGAAACTTGATATACCAGGTCGATGCACTCACTCGTTGAATTTACCAACCAATTTCGTGGGTGCAAATATATAAAAATCAATATGCTATAGTCATTTTGGGTGCATTTATTTTTCATGAAACAATAATAATTTCAATCCCGAAAAACCATCAATTTTCCGTATAAAATCGAAAAAATCGAGATGTGTCGACTCCCTGACGTGAAAATTAGATTCTACGTGTAAAAATACTTACACATGGATATGCTGAACAGAAACCATGTGTGGACACAGTTAGGATACATAGCCCCAGAATACTTTTAAAGCGCCTTTACTTTCCAGAATCTTGACGGAATTTTTTTTTGGCTTAAACGACTCAAGAGACACTGTAGTTAAAAAATATAAAGAATTTTCGATTTTGACAAAAAAAAAAATGTTCGTTCAGGCACACCATGTATTGTATGGTGTATTGCGCTGGTATTCAATCCTTGCCTTCAGATCAAAATTCTTACAAGGAAGCCCCTTGCAAGAGGCGAATTTTTTGTAATTTCTCCCAATTTTTTCTCCGTTATATAGTTGAATTGCTTGCCAAATTCTGAGGTCAATTATATTTAATTGTAATTTATACATTTCTTTTTTCCCCTTCATTTTATTTTTTGTTTGGAGAAGTTTCGTTGATTTCTTCGGATTTCGAATACTGTAACTTCTCTTCTATTCGGCCGATTTTTATGAATGAGACCTCTTTCAATTCGTCTTTGAACGGAGAGTAAGGAAAAAATTGCTAAGTACTCGCGAAACAATTTTTTCGAAAATTTGATGGATCCCAGCGTGACGGTGAAATGGGTAATCGAGTGAAAGTAATTAGGTCTGACTGTGACGAGGACCGCGAGGGTCGCCTTTTGTTCTTCAGCTGGGAAGCGACGCGGCGAACCGAGCCAGGACCGGGACACTACCTGGGTTTTGTGCCTGCCTGTGCACTGTTTTGGCCTGATAGGGGAGTGAATTTCTGTATGGGCCACGGTTAGCACATGGTCTAATGAGTCTCGAGGCTCATCACAGATTGCACTTACCACTATCCTGCTGGCCCCGGCTATCAGAGCAAGGGGTACCAAATTTTGAAAATCATAACAGGGTTGTGGAGATCTGTCAAAGCAACGTTTTAAACAAAACGAAGAAGTGAAATTCTCATTCAACGAGTGCCGACCTGATCAGCCATCCTCGAATCAGTTCGCTTGCTTCTGCTTATATATGCATATTTTAAATCAGCGCGTCGTACTCTTAGGCTTTTTTTAAAAAAACCAAGTAACGTAGACTCTTGGTATTCACTGCACATAAACTAGAGAGCCCCAGAATGAGAAACAACTTTAAATCATAATTATTGACGGATAAATAAACTTTTTACACCCTTTGGAAAATCTCAGAAGTTCGCGGTAGTCACTTTTCGGTAAGGAACTAAGGGACTCGGTTATTGTATCGAGTGGGGGGTCGAAACGATCGCAAAGGCGGTATACTACGTATACGCGCCAAAAAATAAAAATGTCTCATTTAATGAAAGGAATTAATGCTTAAAGTAATCTGAATGGAATTTCTGATCATTTAGCCATAATTTGGTAGCGAGCAATCAGCTGTAACTAAAATGTGAAGATCCCATACTGGTGCCTTTCGGCTCAATTTCGTCAAATGGCATTATTATCATCAAGTCACTGTTGAAAATTCAAGGTTCAGTAGTGTATAGCAACCAACCATGGCCTAAATTTCCAGAGAAGCAAGTGTCCCCAGGGAAATAAAGCGTCTCCATGGAGGCACGTGATATTTGGGCCATGCAAACATGCTCAATCAAATTTTGGAAAATGAACAAAAAACCCTCACCAACTTGCTCGAATCTGCAATCCATTGGGTTGGGAAAATCCACTTTGCGACAATGAATCCGACCATTTAGAACTGGTATAAGTACCGGGGAACACTTGAAACACTATGAGTGCATTATGTCGGTCTTCTGTGGTGTAGTGGTTGTAGCACTGCCCTACCAAGAGGTCCCAGGTTCGATTCCCGGCCAGGTGACCTGAGTATGATGGTCTCAGAAAATGGTCACCTGGGGCAGGAAGTAAGCATGGGATTAGCCAATTAAGCTATTTACAGATCCGTTAAAAAAAAAAAAAAAAAAAAAAAAAAAAAAAAAAAAAAAAAATGGACAAAAATTATAGAAAAATGTAAAGCATAAATTATAGCAGCAATGAATCAAAACAATTAGAACTGGTATAAGTACCGAGGAACACTTGAAGCACTATGGGTGCATTGCAGAAAAATCTAAAGCACTCTTTAACGTAAGAGAAAAATTAGCACCATGATTTGAAAGCTGATCAAAACAGCAGCCTGGATGTTGATATTTTGTGTTCGTCGGGTAGACATAGGTAAGAAGGCGGAGCAAGCTTGGTCGGCTATGTCTTATTGCTGCTTTATCATGCCTTAATCAAGTGGAATGGACGACATATAGTTGAAAACTGAAGAGGTGCCTGCAGCTTGTCGTGAGTTCGACCCGACATAGGCAAAACAAAGCAGCGATAAAACATAGCCGACCAATCACGCTCCACCATTTAGCCTATGTCATCTATTTCTACCCAAGAGACACAAAATTTCAACAATCAGGCTACAGAACATCACTCTCAGAAAAGCGCTGACACAACGCCATTTTTCAATTAATTTTTAGAGACTAAAAATGCATTTTTCAAAAGATGCGACATCATCCCTCGGCACCTATAAAAATGAAGCTTAAACAATTTATTGATTTACTCTGATCATTGAAGATATTACGGTAGCCATCGATTCTCTACCCGACGTTCCTTCCACACATGACAGGGAATGTCGAGAGGTACAGAGCGAATGCCACTAAGCAGCGATGTACTACATCTGATATGGCAAGTTCCTGGAAGTGTCGATCTGCAAAAATTCAAAGCGAGAGACGGATCATCCAATTGATCCACCTAAAATTAATGACCGTCAATAGAGATAGACATTAAGGTACATTACAATGAATCATCCACCATTTGATAACAGAACGAATTCAAAGTGAGAGTTAGACCCTTCCTTCTGGAGGGAGGACCAAGAAAAACTTAAAAATTGACCACTTCACTACTTACTGGTCTGAGCTACTGAATGAAACATAGTCCACCAGTCAGTCAATACATTTTGAAGCTCAGGGACCTACCATCCAATGTTGACGGATAACCCGATTCAATCACAGATTGCCAGGATACAATGAGTATCTGATACGTAGAGCAGTTCATTCTTGTTGAAGCTCTAGTGGTTCTAGATATTTTAAAATCAGACAACTTTCAGAAGACTTCAACTTTCATGTCCCACAAGAGTTGAAGTAGACGCAACCAAACTTTAAGTGTACTTCATTCTTTTGAAGACGCATGGAAAATGCAGGTGGTATGAGGATGTTCATGGGTGTTCCTACAGACTTACTGGAGCACTCGCCTGCAATAGTTGGGAAGTTTCTATTTGTGATAAGAGTCCGCTCCAAATAAGATTTGCACCTTTGGAGTGCATCAGCGGATCCACCATCTCGATTCTGCTCTTCACTTTCAATGCTAAATTGATGAAAGATTATCTTCCGTCCCACCAAAGGAGTGCGTACACTTATTTAACGTAGACTCTCCACTCAACTTTGTAACTGCAGTGAGAAATGGCACATGGTAGTAAATGCATGCATAACTTCATATAATTTCAATACCTGATTATGAAAAAGTTTTGTATGATTTGAAGGACCTAACCTACAATTGGGATCCACGTTAACGATTAAGCCCCATAGCAAATAATGGGGCAGTTGCGCTGGTCTCAGAAATGTATTTTGGTGTTTGAATCTTGTCGAACAAGATTCAAACGAGACGGTTAGGGCCATCGTCTAGCGGAATATTTTACTCGCATGAGGCACCCAGATATATACTCGCAAACAACAAGCAGAATTACATACGTCCTTTGTCACCTGCAGGTAACGTGAGGTTGGCATGGAAAAAGGTACGAGATAAGTACAAGTACAACCGGTATGAGGACGTAGACATTCGATTAAGTAACCATCGTGGTAACATTATCATTATCACGAACACGAAAGGGAGGATGCAGAGATGAAAATTTTCATTTCCATGAAACTTAAAGAATTAATTTGGTTTGATACTTATTAACAGGTATATATTATGCTTTTGAGATACACCAATAAGAAATCATGTAAAATCCCTATAATATAGACGGATATAAATATGTATATTTTATAAAAAAATTTATAATTTTATTAATTATAAAATGTTTTATTTTATCTACTCAAGAAATGAGAGGAGAAATATGGAGTAAAACATCCTTGAATAAACCATACAAGCAGAAAAACTAGTTTTCATCAAAATATAAAGTATAAAATGTAAAATGATAAATGATTCATTCAGTGAAATAAATAAAAATAATTATGGAATCCACAAAAGAACTATCAACACGTTTGAAACAAATTTTTACTTGTACATTACAAATATCACTTACAGACACACATAAGGGAAGAGGCAGGTGCACTTTCACAAAAAAGGACTCTGTGTAGAAAAATCAATGACAGTTATAAGGATCAAAAATGAGCCAGAATTTCTTGTGCTTCTGCCGTCCTGAAACTCTGGAGTAAAGTCACGGGAAGAGAATACTCTAGCAGTCCATGAGCAACTCATGTCGCCGTGTACTGAGCGTGGGCCTNTTGGGGGGGGGGGGGTGTTTCCGGACCACACTGTGTGGCGGCAGCATCAGGTGGTTTGAGAAAAAATCATCCGCGCGGCTCGACTTGAGGTTATGAACACTCCTCAAAATAACAGGGAATTAATCATCTCGGAGGAAAAAAAACAAGATATAAACAGCCTCGACTGCGACCGCGAGTAGGGACATCTCTCAACAGTTCTGCCACCTTCGCACGAAATTCGTAACATCCCACGATGATTTGAGTGGAAAACTTGTGCACGGCCCTGTGAACGGGCAACACGGCAACCCGGCACGGCAAGGGTATTTTCAACGTCTCGTGATGGATCTCTCTTTGTTTCAAGCCGTTCGGTCAGTAGAGAGTAAAAGAAATGTCGAGGAAATTTACTTATAAAGGGGTACAGAATAAGTTTGCTTCGACAAGCCTACCCTGGGGAATCTCTGTTATTTTTTTTTTTTTTTAAAGTAAATTTATTGTTTTAAAAGGGCAACTCTTTTAAAAATCTTAAATTTTCACTGAGAGGAACCTCTTTTTGTGGGTTTATTCAGTATTTACAAGCGGTAAGAATTAAGGAAGAAAGTTTTATAAAAATTACTAAAAGGTTTATCGTTGTTTTTAGACACTTTTTTCCCTTAAGATAAAGAGTTGAAAACTCTTCAAAATTCACGGTACTTTTTAGGCTAATTTTTACCTAGATAGTGCTTTCAAAAATGCTGGAAAAAGATTTTACTCTGCATTAATGTAAATGGTTCTTTGTAGGCTTTGAAAAGTGCTTATCGATAGCGTAAGAATTTCACCGAGGAAAAAGGTACGAGATAAAAGTAAAATTAGCTATTTACTCTGGGAAACAGATGAATAAATCAAGCAATGAACAAATTCCTGCATCGGAGCTGACAGTAATGAAGTATTGAAACAAATATAAAACAACTTAAAAACTTTTAATATTCAAGAAGGCGGCGTCCGCTTGGTTGGATCGTCGTCCTCGTGTTCGTGCGAAGGCGGAGCTAAGACCGTTACATATGTAGCGGCCATCTTGATGACGTAGATAAGTACAACAAAGTATGAGGACGTAGACGTTCAATTAAAACCACCGTGATACCATTATCAACATTATCACAAACACGAAACGAGGATGCAGAGATGAAATTTTCCATTTCTATGAAACCTTAAGAATGAAATTGGTTTGATACTTATTAATAGATATTAAAAGTGCTTTTGCGATTCACCTATAAAAAATCATGTAAAATACCTATAAAATAAATAGATCTAAATATATACAGGGTGTCCCAAAAGTCTCCTCCACCCCCTCTAAAATTTTACCTAATTAATATTTTGAAACGAAGTTTTGGGGACGTTCATCGATCAATGTTAGCTACTTTTTTGGACCAAAAAATTCCCCCCCCCCGCCCCCGTGGGGAGGGGCTGCGGACCCCAACTTTTTTTAAACAACAACCCCTCCCCCTTCGTGACATATCAATCGAAAAAAAGTAAAATATGAAAATTTTTGGCACAAACCACTTTTCAAAATCTTAATTTTTGATAAAATGGCGGCCGGTCAAAGTTCAAAATAATGGAAATTTGGCATATCCGTTTTTTTGGCGGATTGGGATGAAAACTGGCATCCGAAGGTTTTTTGGGAGAAGGAAAACGATTCTGGTGGCATCATTTTTCCGGACACCCTGTCCTTCTCAAATTGGCGGCGGTGAAAATGGCGGCATGAAGCGGTAAGGGAATTTTTAGGCTGTTTATCGGTCTATTTGCATGAAACTTCATATNGGGGGGGGGGGGGGGGGTATTTCGGTATGAGAAAAACGAATCTCTAATTGGATTTTTGGAATTCTGATTAACTTCAAAATGGCAGAAACTTGGAATTACAGACGTTTAGGGATGGATTCGCATGAAACTCGGCTGCCATTTTGAAAGTGTGCAACGTTTCAAATTTTGAAAGCAAGAGTGTCATTCTTGTCGAATCAGAAACCATCAAAACCCCGAGTTTGATGCGAATTCAACCCTAAACGTCTGTAATTCCAAGTTTCCGCCATTTTTTGGCGCCATTTTGAAGTTATTCAGAATTTAAAAAATCCAATGAAAGCTTCATTTTTCTCATGCCGAAATAACCCCCCTCCCCTTAATACGAAGTTTCATGCAAATCCACCGATAAACAGCCTAAAAATTCCCTTACTGCTCCATGTGGCCATTTTGACCGCCGCCAATTTAAGGAGGACAGGATGTCCGGAAAACTGATGCCACCAGAATCGTTTTTCTTCTCGCAAAAAACCTTCGGGTGCCAGTTTTCGTCCCAATCCGCCCAAAAAAACGGAGATTTCAAATTTCCATTATTTTGAACTTTGACCGGCCGCCATTTTGTCAAAAAGTAAGATTTTGAAAAGCGGTTTGCGCCAAAAATTTTCATTTTTTATTATCCTTTCGATGAATTTGTCACAAAGGAGGGGTTGTTGTTTAAAAAAAAGTTGGGGTCCGCAGCCCCTCCTCAAGGGGGGGGGGGGAATTTGTGGTCCCGAAAAGTAGCTAACATTGATCGATGTACATCCCCAAAATTTCGTTTCAAAATAATAATTAGGTAAAATTTTAGAGGGGGTGGAAGGGACTTTTTGGGCACCCTGTATATTTTATACCCCATACAATATCCATTAAATACTTAAAAAATATGACATCTGTGCGATACCTATTTGATGAAACTATTTTGGCTACTAGGGTGCCACGCACCTATATTGGTTTGAATATTTGATTATACAATAAAATTTTGTTTTAATTTGACAATTTTGATCTTTTGTCTGACAACCAATACAATTTTCTATACTTTTTATTCAATTCTTTCATTTTGATTCTATTATGATCTTTAAAAGTAAGCCTAGAGTTTAAATAAATTCCTAAATATCCAGCGCTCGTAACGTAAGTAACTTTCTCCTATGGGAACTGGTAATTGGACCGCGTTAAACAGAAAGGAACTAAGCCACATCGGCCATTGCCAAATTTAATCGAGCAATTTAATTTTTTACATGAAAACGGATGTACGGATGTTTGTGCAAATTTCAGTGGATTTTCTCTACAGTACAAAGCAAATTCCTTGAAAATTTCAAAGGAATCCACACAAACATTCTCTCGTAAAAAATTAAATTGCCCAATTAAAGAGCCTCCCAAAAAAAGGGCCTTTTTTGGCCCCTTTTGTGAAACTCGGGGATTTCAT